AAAACCTCACTTCTTCAGATGCGTAGAGTGAAAGAGCTATGCATCTGAAGAAGTGAGGTTTTTACCCACGAAAGCTTATGCCCAAATATATCTGTTAGTCTTTAAGGTGCCACCAGACTCCTTGTTGTTTTTGTAGACAGTTGACAGTGAATCCTAATTATACATCTTTGAAGAAGGGGAACAAAGCTGAAGGCAATAACTAATGAACTACAAGTCAGCAGAGAGTAGAGAAGAAAAAAGCAAACTAGCTACAGCCCACTATGAACTAAAACGGTCTACAGCTTGGGGAAAATATCTGAAAAGCCCTCAAAGTCTCTCTTAGTCCTCTCCACATCAAATATTTGCAACCCAATTCATGAAAGCACCATTAAAACCCAAACAATATGCCATCCTGCTCCAATAAAACACACACACAATAGACAATGTGCACTGCTAACATAAAACAGGACATGCAGGCATTCAGAGCCTCTGAGGCAGAATGATTTGCTTTGTTTAGAAGTTGAGGGTTTCAGTAATGAGAGTGGCTTTCCCACAGTCTGAACCACAAGGGGGCATTTGCCCACTACATTTTTGGGGATGCCTCCCCTTTACATCTCTCCTGAATACAAACAGGATAGAAATCAGTATTACAGCAAAACCTGCACTCCTTGTTCAGCCCCATTCAACACAGAGAATTGTGCTAACCATCTTGTTTCTGATCGTTATTTTCCCCAAATAGAGAACTGCCATAGCACAAAATTGAATGTCAAAACCCTCACACTAGACCCTCAAAGTAACCTAAGCCACGAATGCACCCAACACATATATGGCCTGCTACACATGTTCCCGTGGAGCCCCAATATGCACACAAGAGCTGCTGACAAAGGCTCGCCAGCTTACATTAGTGGCACCGGCACCCACGCTTCTTGAGCTTGTGTGTCGGTGAAAATTGTGTGGCTATTTGCATCTGACTTTTGTCTGGGTCTGATCCAAATGGGCATCTGCAATTAACCCAATCATGTCAGATAAGAATGTAACCAACAGCAGCAAGGCGAGTGCAATGCTCCGTGGTGAGACAGGACACAGAAAGCAAAGACAATGGGTTGTGATGACAAGCCAGCAGAAGGGCTGAGAGATAAACAGTAGAGGGATTACACAGGGGCTGTGCAGCCATCTGATTCTACTAGGTGGGATTCTAAACTACCTACACCTTAGCCAGACTGTCTGATCCTCTCATTTAGGCTTCAGGCATTTTGCTGGAACTGTGGAACAATCGACACAGAATGATCCAATACCAGGCTCTCCTGTAATTTATGCTTAGAGGTGTTACACATTAGGTTTTAAATTTGTTTTTGCCTGGTTTCCCCCCCCCCCCCCCCCCCGGAGGCAAGAAGAGCAGTTTCTTTTTTATGCTCATTAAAAGGAAGCGATCCCAAACTGGAAAAGCTGATTAATAGAACAGAATATTTCACCTCTTTGGTCTAAGCCTGTTTGCCAAGTTTCGGTCTCACTCAAAGTGATCAAGTTTCAAACGTCTCAAAAATGGGGTTTTGTAATAGGAACGCCAGCAGCCAAGGAGACCTCTGGCCCTGGGGTGTGTCGCTTACTGGCAATGCTCTGTGCAGTGAGTTTTGCAGTAGTCAAAGCCAACTCTTGAGAGGAATGAAGAATCCTCCAACTCAGAATCCCTGCCCTTCTGAGCACCACTGACAAGGCCATTAGCCTTCATGTGTCCTGGCTTAGCACCACAGCGCATTATCTCACTCACCTTCCCCAGTGCCCAGGTGGTCTCCAACCTTGGGAAGAGTTTGCCACAGCATCACTCTCACTGCCCCACCCGTCCTTCCAGCTCAAACCCTTGGTCATCGCTCCCTCCTCTGCTCTGGCCTCTCCCCCTTCCCCTGCCCCATTCCACTCCAAGCGTTGCTGTTAGTCCTGCCTATGATGACCAACCACACCTTCTCCCACTCCTGTCACTGTCAGAAGTCTGAGCTCCTCCCGCTTCCTAAGGCCATACCCACCTCCAGCTACCACATGCACAGTGCAGCAGGTTGCCCGGAGGCTCCATCAGCTGGTGGGGCCAAGAGGGGGTTCAGTCACCAAGCCAGGCCATGGGCTTAGAGCGAGCTCGGACACTGCTGAATTCAGCACCAGCAGGTACTGCTCTATCCAGGCTCCTCAACGGCAAAGGGGACATTAAAGCAAGGACTTTCCAGCCTCTCTCTGGAGTCTGCCCAGACACAAGGGGAGTTCTTCACAAACAGGCCGCAGAACCTTTGCAGACTGTTCCAATCTCGGCTCTAATGGCAAGGTATGGGCAGACTTCTGCCGAAGGAACATCCCTCTGCATTACCACTCACTGGATTCCCGGGCTCGAACACATTACCCCAAGTTGGCATGAGACAAAGCCAGGCTCTCAAGATGCTAGATCAGAACTTAGCATTCGGTCACAGCCCCCCAAAGCTGCCTTCCAAAAGACAACATTTTCAACTGACCAGGAAGAAGAAAGTCTGTCACCAGAGGGTTAACGCTGCATTGTAGCAGCTCCTTATGCCAATGAAGTACCAGGGGAAAAAGCAGCACTAATGCAGCCAGCTCCACCTCTGGAGTAGGTCTCTGCCTGTGACAGGTGCCTAGACATGGTTAGCCGTGCCCACCTCCTTGGGACCCATGCTTCGTATCCAGAGGCAGTTGAGCTGTGAGAGCAGTGGGTGTTGAGTGTTAATGTGGCAAAGGAGCCAAGGCCATGCAGAAAAGTTTCATCTGGTTATAAGAGCTTCAAGCCAATAACTCCTGCCCTCTTCCTTCGGCTCTGTGCTCCCATCGGATCGGTTCAACTGAGCAGCACGGCTGGACCAAGATCCATGCTGTGAGGAGAAGCCTGCCCTTGCTGAGGGAAGCTAACTAGAGTTAATATTAGCCTCCTGCAGGCAGTCAGAGCACTTATCCCAGGATTACACAGCTCCATGCACCTTAATCTTCCCCTCCCTGCTGGAGATGGGCGAGCCCTGCGAGGTGGAGCACTAATCCAGAACTCCGCAAAGGGGCCTGCTACACAGCTGGCCACCAGATGTGGATGTTGGTGTCTTTGTTCTAAGTTGCTTTCCAATACAGTCAGGAAGTTAAATACCACCAAAGTATAACCCACATGGTAGAACACAGGTGGGTCATTTATACCCCGCCCTGACTTTCAAGGAAGGGCTAAAGGCTTGACTCTTTGGAAAGGAAAATCTGTGAGCTGCTGAGCCTTCAATGATTTTTGAGTGAGTGAAACTAACCTGATCAGATAATCCCAAAGGCTGCTATGAACATGGCAGCAAAGCATGTGCACAGCCAGAACCTCATCACGTCTGACTGCTAAATGCAGCTCCAGATGGGGGAGCCTCATTCAGGATTGGCCAGGTGCAACTGGAACTGTACTTGCAAAAAAGGCCAACCAAGCCCGCTTAGAACTCAAAGAAAACATTTTTAACATTTTGACAAATGCTGAGATTCTAAAAAGGTCTAGAATTGAATTTGGTAACTGAAAACCCATGTCAGTGAAGGGTTGGCCTCAGCAACTGGCACATCCCCGCTGCATGTGGAAACCTGGTGCTTCCATTACTGCAGCTCTCCTCCCAGCTAAAAGTGAGCCAAAGAGGACCAATAAAAGGCAGTGTAACATGACCAGTTCTTGGAGGGAAGGAGAAGAGTCAGAGCTTGTCACCATCACTTTCAAGAGTTGCGTAATGTATTTTAAGAGGGGCCGGAGAGGATGCAAGATGCCCAGCAAGGAATCATAGCTTGGAAGGTCCATCCCTCTCAGGACAGGCCGGAATGCCTTGTTTGTGTCCTGCCCATGTCTGCCAACGCTGCTGCTGTCAGGATCACATCTGTAAGCCACCCTCAGTGAGGGATTCTAACCCTGCAGATTAACGTGGCGTTTGAGGAAGGATGCGTTACAGCATTTCACAGCTTAAATTCACAGAAAAGGAAAAAGCCAACACAGCCCTTTGAAGACAGGGACTGCTGCCCTGTAACAGCTGGAGCCCGCAATCCCAGCGGGGACAAAACTGGGAGCTTGGTTATCATTCAAGTGTGCAAGCTATTGAAGTCAAGGAATTGGCTACAACCTAGCACCCTGTTTTCCTGATGTTAATATGTAGTTCACTGGGACATGAAAACAGCCCCGAATCAGTAGTTCCTTCTTGCCTTACAAATCCATGAATCTATGAACTGCATGGATGGAAATACAGAAAGCATGGAGCCACCACAAGTGAACACAGAACTTCTAACTGGGGAGGAAAAATCTACAAACAAACATGAAGAAGCCGCCTACGTAGCCGAGAATACACCCTGGAGTAACGTGCTTGGCCTCAGCAGCTTTTCCACATGCTTATTTTTGCAGCGTAAACGAAGGACGATTTGCCAAGACTGGTTGGATTTTTAACCCCTTTTAAAAGCAGAACCAAGCACTGTGATATACTGTGTTGGAGGGAACCCTCAGGTTTTCAGGAGAACTTTGCACAATGCCACTTTTCTAACTGGGTGGGCAATACCAGGTGCTCCATTGATAGGCTTTGGAAAGGGAATTAGCCAAAGGGATAAGGAGAAAAGAAAAGCAGGAGACCAGTGACCAAGGTCCCCCCAGTGACTAAATACCACCCCTCATATGAGCTACTCTGAACCAACCATAACTTGACGTGGTGCGAGACTTGTTAAACATCTACCTAACAACCCATCTAAATCTCTGCTGCACGCCTCAAGCCGTACAGCCCTGACAGTCAGGCACTAGCCCCAGCTATTGCTCTGTACGAACAAAGCTCCTCAAAGGTGAAAATCCGTGAGACAAGTACCCAAACAGCCTGGTGTTTTGAACTGTTCCCAGAG